ATATTAACAAATACTCTGAATATAACAATTAATATTTTTTTAAGAAATATATATTTTATTAATTTTTTACAGAGAGGAAGAGAGAGGGATAGAGAGTTAGAAACATCAGTGAGAGAGAATCATTGATCAGCTGCCTCTTGCACCACCCCTACTGGAGATGTTGCCCACAACCAAGGTACATGCCCTTGACTGGAATCGAACATGGGACATTTCAGTCTGCAGGTTGATGCTCTATCCACTGAGCCAAACCAGTCTCAGCAATAATTAATATTCTTTTAAGGAGAGTATCAGGACATAAAAACATATGTATATACTATATGTGTATGTAGATGGGAATGAAGATATAGGGCTATTCAGACAGCAAAATCATTTCCCAAATAATTTGTCACTTGTAATCAGGTCTAACATGTTCCTATTAGAGAAATAAGAGGACATGGTCATTCATCTGTGCTTTAAAAATTGATTTATTGAATTTCTGTTGTAAAGCATTTTTTCTTACCTACAATCGTAAGATAATATACTTTCTCATAAATCCACATATGTACCATTTTAAAATCAAGATAGTATTAAACAAATGATTCAGGACAACAGTTTTTTAAAAAATATACAGCATTCCTCTGCCTAAAAATATACTTTTAAGCATGAGTATTGCCAAATTATCTCCTATTTAAAATTATGTAGTATAGCTTTTCATGAATTAAATTTATCTTACTCAAGAAGGCATTATAAATAAACACTTAAAGCTAAAAAGTTTAAACATCAATGATCATTGATTTACATGAGCACTATGAAGTAGAATAAGTAATAATTGCTTTAGAGAAATACTAGAGAGTTTTATGTGATCGCTCATTATAATTTAAAATAATGCTACAGGGAATGAAATCTTGGCTTGCTTACTTTTTCTTAATTGAGAATGCGAATATGAAAACCTAATAATGCAGTTCAAGTAAATAATAGTTTGCAACAATGGCAAATTTAGTAGGCTACAACAGTGCATGTTTTACTGGCATGTAATTCTTATTTTATCATTGTTGACATTATTTTACACTGAGAACAAAGCCTAGATAATTGTTAGCTTTAATCTTGGAAATGGGTTTTAATATTCCTGTTACATTAGAAGATGCTTATAGGAAAAGGTGCCCAAATTATTTTTTATGAGAAAATAAGCAGAAGTAATCATGTCAATTTTGAGTTGGGAAGATCTGTTGCCTTTGACTTGTGACCCAAAGCTTAATGATGAAATGGAGAAGATATAATGAAGTCAGTCAGAAAAACTAAAAGGCAGATAAAAGTTCCCATGTGAGTTGCTTATGGCATGACTTATTTAGTGATAAATAGCTTTTGTCTAATTACTTTCAGAGCACTTAGTTTTTGCTAATACATCATGATTGGTGGTCATTGATATAAATCAACATCATTATTTTTATTTGTTTCCTTTCATTTGAAACTTAGGAGAGACTTACAAATGAAAATATGGGTTTTTATAATATGTAAAATATAGTTTGAAAAATTCTGAAGCCTCAATGACTATGTTTGGCTTTGGTTATTTTTGTCATACAATCATAAAAACTGATATGTATGTTTTAATGTGTGTGATTATCTACAGAGTAATTTCTCATTACAAAACATTACTGTGGAATTAATGGTGGAAGATTGGTTAGAACTAGTGATAAATCAGAATTTTAGAATCATTTAAAAAAGATGAATTTATTACTTACAACTACATTTACAATAAATTAGTTGTGAGTTCATTGCTTTCCCTACTATATTGTATGTTCCTGAGGAAAGGTAATCTAGTGCATCACATCATATCTAATAGAATAGAAGAAATGCTCGATGAATGTTTGATCAAATAAATGATTAATGCATTAACTAATGACAAAAATTACTTCCTTTTACAATAAAGGTAGCTTTTAAAGGGCACAACATTGTTAAAGCATCTCCTTTTCAAGTTTACATTTGTATATTGCATTTCACTTTTCAAAATGTTTACACATCTTACTACTGTGTTTCATCCTCACAACGATCCCTGATCAAAAGGCCTTATTATTTTTATTTTGAAAATAAGAAAATGAAACATTGAGAAGCAAACTGACTTGTTGATCATAACAAACCAGTTATGTCACAGCTTGAATCCATGTCTTTTAACTTATTTCACCATGGCATTTTTTTTTTCTATTCATAAATACTTTTTAATTACTAGATTTAAGCCTGACATAGGACTCTCTTGTTTTGGTTCTCTGTCCATTGATTTTGCATAATATTTACTCAGCCATTTAATGTATTCTTTTTTCATTTAATTTATTCTTATTTTCTATTCTAAATTTCTGCACATATTTCTCATTATAAATTTAGCAGAAATAAAAATGGAATAATTTTCTGCATTTTCTCTGCTGTAACATCACAGGAGTGTACTATTAAGATGAATTTAAGAATCTGAAGGTTCCCACTTCAGGTAAGATGGTGGACTAGATATCCTAGTACAACATGAATGGGCCATGCTTTGTGGCAGGCAGGAGATAAAGCCCCAGGCTTGAGTTGTGTGTATGTGCGTACACGCTATGGAGGTTGAGGACAGGGTGGAAGGTTGCTGGGCATAGAAATGGCAAGAAAAGTGAGGGTAGTTTAAGATTGTGCTTTGGCTTCTACTTCAAAGTAACAGCTTCCTGGAAAATAGATAATTAAAAAATGATGGATACACATTTTGGACCATTGAATTAAGAAGGATCTGGTTTATAGAAAATACATTTGTGTAAATCAAAAACATTCACCCAAGATAATAATAGATGTGCTATAAAAAGATAAACATAAAAACACATTAGAATATTTGGGAAGGGTATGTTGGTGAGGGTTAGGGATAAAACAGGATAAATATATAAAGCCAGAGGAGGCTTGCTTGGGCCAATTATTATTGTGCACTATGAACTAATGGGTATAAGGACTATGATTATTCAATCCTATAAGCCTGAGGTTAAAGTAAAAAGAAGGAAGAAACAAACTCAATGGATGTGTTAAAGAGCAGATTCAATACATTGTACAGAGGGAGGGGAGGAAGGGAAGAAACCTAGAAGATCTAAAGAAATTACCTAGGATCTAAATTAGAACTATAAAATACGTGGAGAAAAGGTCAAACAACATTTAGTATAGAGTGAGAGAATCTAACAGAGAGCTAGAAAGAGGTAATATTCAAAGAGATAGTGGCTGAGCATATCTCATACTTGATGAAAGACACACATTCTCAGTCTCTAGTCACAAGCATGATAAATAGAAACTAAAAGCACTGAAGACAAAGAGAACATGTTAAAGCTGTCAGAGAGAAAGAGCAGACTTCTACTGAATAATTAAACTGACTAAAGGCTAACCGCTCGACAACGATGGAAGCCTTAGGAACATGCAATATCTTCCAAGTATCGCGAGGAAATGATTCTCACCTGCATGTGTGCACCATAGTAAAATCATGTTTCTAGAATGAGGGCAAAATGAAAACATCTTCAACCAAGCACAACCAAGCAAAAGTGTTGTTTAGACCACAGGACCTCCCCTAAGGAACATTTAGAACATGTTTTTCAGGAAGCAAAAAACAAATGCTGGAAAATCTATTTGCTTATTAACTAAACACTTTAAAATGTTATTTAAAAATCAATTTCTGCTTTAAACAGTAGTGCATTTCTGAATATTAAAAGTTATCATTAATGTAGCATGAATTACCTGTTTTACTACCTGTTTTGCCTCTTTAGATAGAGCATCATCACTTATGTCAGATGCCATACAATCAATTGCTTGGTAATCTGATCCTTGAAATCTTTTTTTAAAAAAATGTATTTTATTGATTTTACACAGAGATGAATTGACAGGGATAGAGAGTTAGAAACATCAATGAGAGAGATACATCGACCAGCTGCCTCTTGCACACCCCCCACTGGGGATGTGCCCGCAACCAAGGTACATGCCCTTGACCGGAATCGAACCCGGGACCTTTCAGTCCGCAGACTGATGGTCTATCCACTGAGCCAAACCGGTTTTGGCTGATACTTGAAATCTTTGAATCATGGACACAATGCTGCATTTGGCATATCAAATTATATTTTATTACCTAGTGTTGTAATTCAAAATAAAACAAACAAACTCCAAGTCCAAAGGTGAAGGGTCAAGAACAAATACTCCTATCTAGTTTCTGTTTATATAATAGAAGCATTTAGGAAAGACTAAATTGCAATATTGGCATAATCTTATGGTTTATAATAAAGCCAAATGCTACAATCAATCCTATAATGATTTCTACATTTGTTTCTGCAGTAAACCAATACTAATGTCTAGAGCACTTGCTGGATATATAATAGGTTTTGTGTGCTCTTATACATTAAATTTTATCAGATCCAACTTGAACATGAGTGGTTTTATATCAGAATAAATTTTGTCCTATTGAGCTATAGTATACAAGTAATAAAGAGCATTTATGGGTGATTAAATATTAAAGTAGAAGTATTTAATCAACTGCACAACTCATGTAATGAAAACATACCCTGATGATAAAGATATTATTGATATTATACCTGAAGGGAATATTTTCATTCAGTCTATCTCCTGGAAATTTAATTTCCTTCTCTGTGAATTTGGGAGTTGTTAGACTGTTCATTTCAGTAGTACATAGTGTATTTATATATTAGAGAAGAATTTAGGTGACTTTTAAAAATCCCACACCTATTGCCATGTATTTACTATCACAGATGAAAAATCACAGTATGTAGAAACTTAAAAACACTAAAGTTAAAAACACTAAACTTAAAAAAAAACCCACGATGTTAATTTTGATGTCCATTTTCACAACACTCGTTTTGTTTTATGAACAAGTACAAGCTGGACTGATCTCAGATCAAATAAAAGTAAGCACTTTTTAAAACAAAAGAAGCAAAGCAATTACATTTACCGAAATTAAAAACCAATTGATGAGCTGACAATGTTTAGGTTGGTTTCGATAGATCTCTTTTCTTTTTTGCCTTTTAGCTTCTTTGAGATTTGACTTTGTACCTAAATAAAACATCAGAATCTGGGTACTGAATACCAATCAAGAAGCGGCCGTAGTCCAGTTGTACAGGTTTATCATCCATTATTTCTAAATCAAAATAAGTTAAGAGCACAACTAACAATTGCTTTATTTCATTGATTGCCAAAAACCGGCCTGGGCATTTGCTGGCTCCCATTCCAAATGGCAGTACGTAATGCTTCAGCCTTTTGCCTCCTTTGAAAAAGTTGGTTTTCTTCTTGCCATTTTCTACAAAACGGTCAAATTGATACTCCTGTGAAGAAGAGATGGAGAGTGTTACAAGAAAAAAAATTTTTACACAAAATAGTTTGAGTCCATGTCCACAGAGTGCCGACTCCTCCTGCTTGTCTTAAAAGGCTCCTTTGAAGAAAATAAAACTAAGAGCAAATCATGTATGCACTTTCAGAAAAACTCAAATTCTACTAAGAAGTTATTTTTCCCACATAGAGTAAAATCCAAATACCTATATGACTTTCCTTCCCAGCACATATTTCTCTCCTATGCTGAATTTCCTAATTAAAGAGGCACTACGTCTATTTGTTGTTGTGTAAGATGGGTCCTGACTCACGAGTACTTGATAAACCAATGTTGGTAGAAAGTCAGGGCTCTGGCACGGGCACCATACTAACTAAAGATCTAGAATATGCTGTTTTCTTACTCCTTCCCAGTCAGCTATTAGTGACTGGGATGAGAACTATGAACTTAGGATTCAATGCTTGTTTGTATGCAATAGATATAAAGTAATGAGATTAATATAAAGCACTAGAGAGGAGCTAAGCCACAAAATCAGTCTTGCCTGTTTTTTGCTATTGTACTGAATTTCTCCTATGACATTTCTATTAGAGTGAACTCTCTTTGGGGTAACTCTAGGATGGCAGGTGTTTCTGATATGTTTTCATAAATAAGTTCTATTACTTGTTACAGAAAATGATGGGAATGGTTCATCCCCGGTGTTTGGCCCGCCATCTTCATTTACTCTCACTTGAGTTTGCAAGAGGAGACTGAGTGACCTTATTTCGGCCCATGGCGAATTAAACCATTGATTAAATTAATACGTGGCATGCATGAAAATGACCACATTTCTCCTGTGCTTGGTGCTCATTAGCATTAGGCCTGCTCAGCACACAACTTTTATATGAACTACATGAAATCAAAGGCAAAGAGCAGGTCAGATGAAAAACATTTCAGGTTTAGAGAAAACCCTACAATACCTGGGTAGATGCTGAATTCATCACAAACCACCTAACTGTTTCACTCCATGCCAGCATTAATGTCAGTGAAATCATTTCCTTTAAAAGTATGGAGTTTACCATCATTTATTTGGATACATATTTTGATAAATAGTCAAGCTAAGAAAACACACGTTGGGTAACTTCTATTTCCCTGTCACTCACAAGTTGATGAAATCAAAATGGCAAAATTAATCTGCAGTAGAACACAAGTCTATTTTCCCTCAGAGCAATTTCTGGGATGTATCCGAATAGAATCTAATCAGTTTGAAATAAAAAAATCTTGCTTCATCCCTAGGGATAAGGACACTCTTAGTTCAGTACTGCTGCTTCCTGACCAATCTGAGGAGACCAGCACACTCACTGAGATCTCCTTGCCTTGGCCAAATAGTTTACATTAATTGTGCCATGAAATGATTTGTTAGAAATAGTCTCACTTGAGTCCCAATGTTTAATCCAGAAAAATACAAAAGGAAAACTTAGCTTAGGTTATGACTTCACAATATCCTGGTTTCATAAATAAGCCAGAAACTGTCATGGCTTTCCTGTTCTTCTCTGTGGAATGCAATGTGCAGTCCTTTGAGAGGCCATGGTGATGAACATATAATGGTCCCCTAGCCCTGTAACTTTAGCTAGTGTTTACATTCAGTTCCCTCAAATTTCTGTCAATCAGTAATGTCATCCTCTAATTTTTCCATCATATTCAATTTCCTCATGCAAAACATCATAGACGTACCTATGTAGTTGGGATATATTTTGAAACAAGATGGAAAAAGGCCAACTTCTTTTGCTGAGACTATCATCAAGGCCAAAGGGAACATAGGCATAAATACATTTCTGAGTGGAATTTATTTTCAGTTTGTTTTCCTTCCGTTGCCAGTGCATGGAAAACCAGAGCAGAACGAAATATTAGGAAGAGCTTGTGGCCTGGCTGGCATGGCTCAGTAGTCGAGTGTCGACCTATGAACCGGGAAGGTGTGGTTTGATTCTTGGTCAGGGCACATGCCTGGGACTTGGGCTTGATCCCCACCGATCAATGATTCTCTCTCATCATTGATGTTTCTACCTCTCTCTCCCTCCCTCTTGGAAATCAATAAAAATATTTAAAAAGACTTTTAAAAAAGGAAGGGCTTTTGTTCAATGTTGACTTAAACTCTTATAACCATAATAACTCAGTGCTTCCTAATTAAAGGGGGGCAATTAAATGCAATATTAAGTGGATAAGAATAGAGAAATTTAAGAGAAAAGATAAGACACTGAAATGTCCCATTGCTCCTCAAATGATTGCTGTGGATAACTCCTCAACATCTTCCTTCTGCATAAGATCTGTCGTGTGTGTGTGTGTGTGTGTGTGTGTGTGTGTGTTTGTGTTTTCATTTGTTTCTAGGTTCCAATGATGGTAATCACATCATTCCGACCTCTGTCTGATTTAGAAGAGGGTATATGAACCAATCTCATCAGGGCTACAGGAGAAAAGTTTGTGGGGACTTCTCCAGATGTCTTCTTGTGAAAAAAGAAATACAAACAAAGAAAGAAACCAACAAAAATAGTTCATCACCTTTTCTCCTCTGGACCTAGTTATATATGAATATGATGATTGCAACTGCTGTGGCTTTCTTGCCACCAGGCGAAGACAGAGTAAACCCACAGAAAATGGCAGAGCCAAGAAATCACACTTATTTATCTCTGTATGTTTTTAAGCACCCAACTAGGTGCTATGCACATAGTAGAGGTTCCATATTTGTTTCTTGACATTCAAAAAACTGGAAGATATGTGATTCAGAAAAGCCATGGCCTATTTATATAATGTAATATTCTAGGGTCTCTTAAGCTTGAACATCCTGAACAACCTTGTTGGGTTGGGAGAACCTATGTTCTGCTAAGACTCTTCCGTGTCTATGTGCTCCAAGAATAACTATACTTATATCTGAAGTTAGTCTTCCTCATGTTTTTTGACCCAAGGGCGATTGTCTGTTTTCTATATCTAAGGCCTGGTCCTCTCATTCAGGATATGTATTAGACAAAAGACAGGACATGGGGAATGTGAGCCTCTGGTGAGCTCCTGGGCCAGGGCTCTTAGGGACAAATGGTCAAGAACAGATTTGCCTTCTGGACAGTGAGTGCATTGTTGTTTTTGGATGGGCATGTGTTATAGAAACACCTGTCTTATTGCGACCTTAAGTTGTTAAGAACAAAATGAATCAACTTATATGCTCACTAGTGGTAAATTCTCAGTAAATGTTTATAGAATGATTACACAGGACCTTGCCAAGTCATAAAAATGGCTCTGAACTATTAGCATTCCACAACTAATTTCAAGAAAACTACCTATTCATGGGTGAAAATTTTGATATTAACAAATGTGGAAATAAAGCTTGTTGTCTGGGAAATGTTCATTCACTCACTAACACCTTACTTCTGACTTACTATCATCATTCATTTAATGTCCCTTCTGAAACACACAGAAACCATATGTACATTCTCCCTCGCCTAAAATTTTTGCCTAAAACCAATGCAAATTATCTCATTGTATTTGAAGTTGTCCTCTTCTTTTTAGTTCCCCAAATTCAACAATATTTTAATCCAGCTTAGCTGTGTGACATCTCACTTAGAAACTGGGTTTAACAGTGGTTCAGCTTTTGACTTGCTCCAAAGGAGAACAGAGGTTTCCCTTTAAAAAATGGCCTCTCATATACAAAAACCACTGCCGCACCAGCATTGCTTCCTGATTCGCACAGGCAGACTATGAGTGCATTCAATTTGCATGCAGGTGGTGAACCTCTGAAGTGGTATTAAGGGATGAGCCAGTGTGGATTAATTTCCAGTCTTTGATATTCATTAACTCCAGCTTTGGGGGGAAAAAAATACGAGGAGATGACACAATTACCCTTAGAGCTTCATCCGTGAGCAGTAGCTTTACAATTTCAAGTTCCTAAAGCCATCCTTATTGCTCAAGAAGGGGCACGTATCTTTAGTAAGAGGTGAAAACGTATATGGACTTAACTATGACTATGATGGTATTTAACTTGGGGATATCAACCCCATTCTGGAAACACTTAGCAAAATCTAAGTGTCATCATTATTTATTCTCTCAGCCGCCTGTCAATAGCTTGCCCTTTCAACAATTCTCTGCCAAGGAAACCTAATTATGCCCTAAAGGTAATGATGGCCAAGGTACAGTGTCCATTTCATTTGATGAAACTAGCTCTGAGTCTCATCACTGTATTCCAATTTATAGGTCATAAAAACTTTGAAAGAGAGATCCTTAGCAAACACTTCAGTAAATAGGAACATTTTCCTAGCGGAGGAAAAACAGAAATCATCAAACTCTCGCAAATGCCACCTGGAACATGGGGGTGAAAGTCAGGGACAGAAAGAGCTCAGGAGGAAGCATATAAGGAGTAGCAATGGCCAGCTCGGTGGCTATTTACCTCAGGAGCTTCAAAGATTTCAGGGTCGTGATGCATGAGTGGAGGGAATATGGCAACCAGGTCTCCCTTTCGTATGAGGTAGTCCCCAGTCTCTGAAGGCAGAGTCAAATCCTCTTGAACAAAACGAATGATGGACGAAAAGGAGCAGAGACGCAAAGCCTCGAGAATGGCACTTTCTGAAGGAAAACAAGCAAGCAACAGCTTTTTAAAATAAATTTTTAAATAGCTATTTATTTGTTTGTTTATTTATTTATTTCCATCACCATTTATTTTCCCCTACATCCTCTTCCACTTCTACCCACCCTTTCTCCCTCCCCAATCAGCATACTATTGTGCATATCCATAAGTAGTCCTTCCTCCCTCCCTTCCTTCCTCTCTCTCTCTCTCTCTCTCTCTCTCTCTCTCTCTCTCACACACACACACACACACACACACACACACACACACACACATTTTTTTTTTGCAAGCAACAGCTTCTTAAAATATGACTGCTCCTGTGGATTGCCTACAATTTACCAGTAAAGTTCACCACCAATAGCTCTGACTGAAAAGGAAACCCTTTCCTAATCAGATCACAGAGCACCAGGATGGTGGCCTGGCATGACCAGAGTGGGAAGGGGGTAAGTGAGACAGCTGTGGTCTGTCCTCAACACGGCTTGGGAACATTTCATAGATGGGAGCAACAGTGCTGCGCTTGGGCAGAATGTCAGTTGTTAGGATTTCTGTAGGAAGGAATAGTTTGCAAGAGAGCAATGCTGTGTTGTGGGCATACCCATTGTAAATGAAAAGCACGTCTCAGTTAAACAACTGCTGGTGGGTTATTTCACCAACCTTCCGGAAAGCTCTGCCTTTCAAGCCAGACTGAGGCATTTAATAACCACTTAGGCAGTTAATAGTAAAGTGATTGTAGTGGTGTTTCCTGAGACAGCTTAACACTTAATTTCTTTTATGCTATCTGTAAATACAGTGTGAGTCAGCATTTGCTGGAAACATTTCAAAGGGGAGATACTTTTACAGGATTCAGAAGAAACGCCAATTTCCCTCCCTTCCAGGGCAAATAGCAACCATCATCATAACCTGGAAGATTCCAGAAACTGAATGTCCTTGCTTTCCCAGTGGCCTTCACCTTTTGCTCCTAGCACGACAGATTTTATGGCTAATTTCCGGCAATTTATCCTGGCAGTTTGAGGAGGAATTCCTTTGGGAATAATATGCATAATTTGCATAAATCATTCTGATAGCATGCATATCAGCATGTAGCTCCCGTCTGGGTCTGCATCTCTGCCTTCATAATCAAAACTGACTATGTTTGCACCAGCGTGAATGGGTCCTAGAATATAAAGCTTGCTTCCTTCTAATCAGAAATGTGAAAAAGAGCTCCACATTGAGTATTTTCCCCCTTCACATGGTAACAAATGGTTGTGTTTATGGCTTGTGATGTAGAAACACACACATATACACACACACAGCCCAGTCTGCTGGTGTTCAGCAAAGATCTGAAACATGGATACCTATTATTAGATTATAGAAGCAGACTGGTCAGTGAGGGCTTGTATCAGCCACAAAAAAAAAAAAAAAAAAAAAAAAAAATGGATGCTCCTTCACTAAAATTTAAATCTGTGCATGGTTTGTGTAGCAGTATCAAGTAGCTTTGGGTGCCTTCTCGCAGGAGGTTTTTCCTAAGCCTGCATTTGTCTAAAGAAATGAGGCTGTGGTCAGTTGCGTGTGGGCAGCGTGGTGATTTGATGTGACGTACAGTGAGGCTGCGCATACTCTCCTGGACTGCCTTCGTGATTATGATCAGGCGGAGTCAAATTGGCCTGTTGGCGATGAGGCCAGAAAAGAACTTTGGTTTTGGAACGTGTGCTCTCCTGCAGATAGCCACAAGGCACCTGATAAAGGATGGATTTTAGCTGGCAGGTCACCAGCGACCAGCATTTCTATGGTGAAATCCGAGGGCCAGCTTCCCCTGGATGGCTGCTGGCTCTGTTGGGTCAACAATAGCACAGAGTCGTTTTAGCTTGTGGTGTGAAATGGTAGCTGACATATGTAGCAGCCTGTTCCCCCACGAAGTCCAGTAGGGGTATGGGAAGAAGAAATACAAAAGCAAAATAATGATGCCACGGCTGCTGTGACAGGACAAGCATTTAATAGTCTAAATAACACGGTCCTATCTGATTGGCCGACATGCTCGGAGGGGTGGAGGGGTTGGGGGAGGCAAGCATGGCAGCTTGTGCCCACTGCAGTATCGCAAATGACAATTGGGCAAGCATATCTTATGCAGAAGTTAATCACAATAATGGAGCACAAAGTGTGGCTTAGCGGTCAGATCATAAATGACAAATCTGTTTTACCTTCCAGAACCAGTTATGTGTGCACGACGAGGCTGGCTCTCGCTCTGAGCGATCATGCCGATAATCATTAGAGGGCAGGAGTAATGAGATGCGTTATTTTTAACAATGGAGAGCCGGGCCTTCTGTGGCTCTGGGTTGCCACCGACAGGCGCAAAAGCCAGCAGCTTTCCCCACCAGCCCCAGTAAGAACGCAGGCAGAGCTATAGGTTGAGAAGAATGACAACTGCACCATAAAAAAAAAAAAAAAGAATTGCAGCCTCTACTTGTAGTTGTCATAGTTGAGCAGACACCAGCCAGTGCCACTAACAGACCAGCTGGGCCCTGGGAGGGCGTCCATGCTGCACCAGGAGGTACAGTAAATTATCCTGAGCGGTAGAGCAACATCTGTTTCTGTGCTAGCGCCGAACAAACAAGGCAATTTAAAACATACCAAGGGATAACCAGGCAACAATTGAACATGACCCTCATCCCTCTCCCCCCCTCCTTCTCACGCACGAGGTGCTAAACTTTGTTGTGCAGCAAGCACGCCACCAAAGAGAGGCCAGGGTGGTATCAGAGAAGGTGTTGTCAGAGGCATCTTAACTGAGCTCCAAAACGGAAAGGAAAAAGCTTATAGTATTGTTATTCTTAGCATCTTCCTTCCCCCTACTATCTTTATTTCCTTTATGCCAAAGCTAGCACTCAGTTCCCTAATTCGTTCTAGAATTAAAAAAAAAACAACACACATACAACTTTCCATATACTTATAAATATTCAGTCTTTAAACCTAATTTGCTATACTTAGTTCACATGCCTTCAAGCATTTGTCTTCCAATTTCCACTGAATAAATGCGTACTAATGAGAACGAGAGCAAGCTGCCGAGGCAAAGCTGGGTGACTTGGGTCTGGCCTGCCACCAGCTTGTGATCGGCGGGCAAATTGAGTTAAAATGAAAAGTCTTGTCAGCGGAAATTCAACATGGTAGCCAAACAGCAAGCTGTCAATCATTTCCGGGCAAAATACAGGGCTGCAGGTAATCAAAGGTCATGGTGATCATCAGTGCACTTGGCTTTCATGGGCACGTTAATCTTAATTAAACATGATCCCTATCTGCAGGTGTTTTATAAAACTTATTGTGCTTAATGGATTGTTCATGTACACTAGTGTTTAGCAGGTAATAGGACCCTCCGCTTATGAAATGCATGTTAGAGAAAAATGGCTATCAGGAATGTAAACATTTGGGGGCTAATTTACACCAGGCACTGTAAGATGCCAACAATGGCAATGGTGATTCAGATAAAGGCTACCCTCGTTTTACGTGCTGAGCTTTACTGACCAGCACACACAAGGAATGTGTTTACCAAAATCCCCACAAGCAGCTTGCAAGTCAGAGCCTGCACAGCCCTCTTCACCTGGCTGGGGAAGGTTTGTTTATCTTTAGGATATACAAAAATATTCGGATTCAGTATCTGCTGTAGGCACAAAGCTGGGGACTGTGCTGCGCTAAGATGCTTTGCGTACAGTGACAGTGTGAGGAAAACCACGGGCAAACAAAAGAAATGGTGGTAGGAAAAAAGGCACATACACTTTCTCTTTTGCCCTCAGATCTCAATGCTCGCTGTAATCATTGACAGATGATTCTCATTTGCAGCTTTAAAGGGAGGAAGCAGCATTGGACCATCAATAATGCATGTTACCACGCAAACACAAATAAGCACATCCAAGTTTCCGCCTCACACGTAAGCCACGTCTGTGCGTGTGGAATGAATGCAGGGTGACATGGCCAGGCTGTTAATTTGGGTCACCTTCATGATTGGTGCAGACTGTGATACCATCTGATTAGCCGCGGTGATCAGTGGATAGCAGCCAGGCCTTGCCACAGGCTACTTGGGTGATCTTAGGGAGAAGGTAGGTGAGAAGAGAGGGGGGTGTGGAGGAAGTGTGTTCTAGAAGGTGTGAGGAGATGGAGGGAGGGTCCAGATATGTGAGTGATTATATTCAACTACCTTCCAGACAGATGAGAAGATAGATCTGAAATGGTACTAATCAGGTCATTCAAAGTGAAAGAACTAATTTTGGGCCCAACAACTGCATATTTTAAGTACAGTTAAAAATAAATCGGAATTGGTAGAAATGAATGCCTACTTTCACTATGCATTGCAGACATACCCTTTGGTTTACTGCTAAAATATGGACATGTAAAGTCAACATTCATATATTCAGTGAACATTTACTACCCAGGGCCTACTCAGCAAGGCACTGGGCTGCTGCTGCTGGTGTGCAGTGGTAGCTGACATATGTAGAAAAGAGAGAACACAGCGTGTGGATTTGGCCTTCAAGGCTCCTGCAGTTTAGGTAGTTCACCGCTAGAAAGTACATATAAACAGAAATGCTTCCAAAGATCCTAGTGAAGATATTGCACAATTTCTGATTGGCTATCTCCAATGATGGCATTCAGAAAGTCCATATTATTACAAAGGTATTTTTTTTTGTTTTGTTTGTTTTTTACTGGGCTAAAAAAGTCTTTCATTTCTTCCCTTTAGAAAACCCGAAGGCCAAAAAATATATATTAAAGGCTAATATGCTAAGTGTCTGACTGTAGGACTGGTAGCTGCCTGATCCCCATAGGCCAGGCCAAGGGACTCCACCTGTGCACGAATCCATGCACTGGGCCTCTAGTACAAAATAAAAATCCTAATCCCTCTTCCACGTACTAGTCCTTTAAAAGTATTTAAGGAGCACTATCATGTCATTTTGAAGTTGTAAGTCAGAGAAGATAATGGCTTTCAGTTTTGCGACATTCTGGATGAATTCAATTAATAAATGTGCCACTAAAATGTGGTGGAAGTGTGTGTTCTACTTCCGTTGGAAACGTAGAGAGGAACTGCTTTCTCTGCCCTGGATACCATCTTTGCATTCATGCTTTGTCAGAAGCAAATGAACGACCTATTTTTGAGATATCACCACTGACTTGTTTTAAGCTTCCTGATATCCCAGAGGTTATCAGTGCTGGCTGTCCATTAGAATTCACCTGAGATGGTTAAGTAATAATAATAATAATAATAATACTTATCCTAGATCAATGCAGTCAGAACAACTGCATTCACAAGCACTTTACATTTGTGCTTTTAAACCTCGGTTGCACATTAGAATCATGAGCTTGCACCCAGCCCCTGACATGAGAACTCTGTGGGTGGGACTGGGTTTGAGTCGTTTTGAAGCTTCCCAGATGATTCCAATGAGGAATCCAGGCCGAGAACCGGGGCTTTAAACCCTTTTCTGCTCAGCCACACATTTCCTCATCCTATCCTTACGCAGTTGATTTTCAGACCTAAATACAATAATCTGCCTTCTCATTAAATTTCCCTTTCAATCCTTTCAAGTGCTGCTTCCAGCATTCATTAGATTATCTAACCCTCTTAGCTCTGTGCTGAGCTGGAAATGTGATAAACATCCAAATCAGTATATTTTACTTTTTAACCAATGTTGCCTTATATTATGTATAAAATTCTCTGTGCCGCGCCAGCATGGCCAAGGGTGACCCTGAGTGGGGGCAGTGAAGGATTGAGAAAAGACAGACAAGAGAATGAAAGCGGGTCATGGGGGGACACTGTCCTCTCTGATGGAGAGCTAGCGACAGTGCCATGGACTACAAGCCGTGTCTTTATTTTATAGCCAGATGCCACGAGGCAAAGTAAGGGCGTGGTCAAGATGTTTACAACATTCTTGTGGGTTTTAATCCTACACAAATACATGCACCTGAACTCTATCAAGCCCACATCACTCAGGCACATGGGGCCACGTGTTCAGACCATAGGTTCAAGCTTACAACTCTAGCTGTTAGCTATAATTGTGCTGGGAGGGCTTTGCCCTCCAAGCTGGGATTGCCATGGCAATGAGTCGACTGTGCCTTCTCATTAGTCCGAGGCTTGAATCTGTCCTAACACTATGGCCCCTCTCCACAAATTCACTACCTTATGTACCCTTTTATGGAAGATGTCTCTCGCCCCGGTTCCAGTGAGTTTCTAATATGAAGCAGAATTGATACTGCTTGTGCATCCCCACTGGAAGAGAGGATTTTGTAAACTTCCCTACTATTGTCTAAATCATGTACAATTTTAATTTCTCAATTACAATTATTTTATAACATTAAATAAGTTTTTTCCAATATAGTACCCAAAATTGTGCCAAATATACCACACTCACATGTTAATAAGGAGGGGAACTATGTGTCAGGGATATTTGGAAACTATTATTTTTGTAACTTTTCTGTAAATCTAAAACTATTCTAAAATGCAAAGTTTATTATTATTTAAAAAAAAAAAACAGCAAAAAACCCTCCATAAAATTCTGAGGTGAACCTCTAGCCCCAGCTTCACACTCAAACCCAATTATATTTGAGAACCAGTGATACATATCAGACAAACACTAGGTCTCTGGTACATCTCTAAAGCATTTTTCCAGAAAGTGACAGTTTATAGGTTAGGTTAGCACTGAAGTTAGGCCTGGCATCAATTTCTGGCTCCTCCACTATCTAGTTGTATGATTTGGGGTGGTTAACTAATATTTCTGAACTTTGTTACTCAAGCATTAAAGATAACTCTTGAAAATTAAATAAGCTAATTATATAAAGCAGTTAATACAGTGCCAGTTACATAGTAAAATAATGATTAATTCCATCATTCCTAATGTCTCATCCTGAAATGAAAATCAAGTTAACTCTATCATCACCTAGCCCACATTTTCAGATCTTGTCCATGTGAAAAGCATGGCTAGCTTTGTTGAATCACGATACAAAGACTTCCTCTTCCCTCTCAGTTTGGATAATGAAAAGGACTCCAGTGATTTCTGTGTCAGACAGGTCTGAGGGAAAAAGACTGGGTGTGGACAGAGAACCCAAGTTAAAGTCCTGCCTCTCTCCTTTACCACCATGACCTGAGAATTTTATCATCTGTATAAATAATGGCAAAATAATAGCTGCTCCAGTCCCCCAAGTATCTTGGTAAAGATCACAAGAGACAACATAAGCCTATTAAGTTGCTTTGAAATATTGAAATCATCAATAGATTTAATATGGACTATGTCTAATAATCACTATTATTTGTTAGTAACCTTTATTTTTTCCAACTAATCATTTCTTTCTGTCCCCTCCCAACTACTCACAAAAAAATGGGCTTAGAAATGTCTAATAGAATTTTACTGAGGACCACAGCAAGCTTATAATGCTAGAGTTAATATAATACACAATTTCCTCTTTTAAAAGAGTTTTAAAATTTTGCTGAGCCCTAATTTTATAGCACTTCCTTTTATTCCAAATAATAACTCTGGAACCTGCCATTTCTTTTGATCCAATAAATTTATACTTTTCTCTTTTGATATATAATTTTAAAGTGATCCTTTCTTTCAATAATGAGAAGCTGAATAAAAAGAGTTGATAAATTTCAACTAATTTTTTAGGAGTAATAACTGTCTATGAATACAAATACCTATTCCTTGAAATTTATTTGTTTTACTTTTCATATACATAATCTGATTCATAAAATGCAACTGGAATATGTGGGAAATGCAACCTCGATCTTCACAGAACCACCAATCTTCTATTCATAATATACTGTGTATCCAAGTGAAGGCAACTGTCCAGAACTATACACAAATTTTGTGCATTTCTTCCCCATTAATTCTCAAAAGAAAAATAAAATAATTTTTGAATTTTAATATTGTGGGATTATTTTCTTTCATGAAGAAAATTCAAAATAACTTTGATAATATATGCTCCAAACAGCAAACTGTAAGGTGACATATTTTTTTCCTAATTGACAGAACAAGCTAACCAACTGTCAAGGCCAGCTTCTGGCTATTGCCTTTGATGGGCTTTATCCTAACCAGTGGAAACCAACTGGCAGTCAAGACCTGTAGGGCCTTTACATGCACAAGATCCCACCAAAAAACCTAGAACATATTTAAAAGATAAAATATTAAGACCAACAAGGGTTAAAATACTTTGCCTATATTGTCAAATGAGTGAAACAACAGCGAAATATAAAGACTTACTCCTCCATTTGTCCATAGGGTCTATTTTATAGTAAATGATACCATAGGATGAAATATCACTACAGAAGGGACAGAGGATAACTCATCAATATGGAATTTACCTTTGGGAATTAAATTTCATCACATATGCCCTAACTGGTTTGGCTCAGTGGATAGAGCGTTGGCCTGCAGACTCAAGGGTCCCGGGTTCAATTCTGGCCAAGGGCATGTATCTTGGTTGCAGGCACATCCCCAATAGGGGGTGTGCAGGAGGTAATTGATTGATGTTTCTCTCTCATCAATGTTTCTAACTCTCTATACCTCTCCCTTCCTCTCTGTAAAAAATCAATAAAATATATATTTTAAAAAATAAAGTTCATCACATAATCACAGTGGTCTTATCAAAACTAGCAAAGTAGAATCAATCCACTGTCATCAAAATCACGTCACCGGTACACAGGTATATGTAGAAACAGAAAAACACCTTAGTCACTCCTGACCTCAAATGTATTTAACACAGAGACCATGCATATCTCATGAGTTAGTTAATGTTTTATAAAATATTGACATTTAACATGAAGTCATTTGTAGTTTTTTCTTTTCCTTTGCTCTCTCCCTATCTTTTTTTATTTTCTTTTTCACCCCCAAGTGTGTTTAAATCATGAACTTTTTGTGGAAATCACCTGAACTACATTTTTGAGAATCATGTACTCCAGGCTATATAAAATATCCTAATTGCTGTATGAAAATATAGACATCATTTTGGGGTAGAATAAATATGTTTTGTACATAAGTTGCATTCCTGAAATACCTTCTTTTTTTCAAGCTCCAAATACCTTTCTTGACAAGATAGAGCAGCAGTGTTTGGAAAGCATTAGCATGTCAACAGATGCTCAGAATCAAATGACTTTAATAGGCAGAAACTATTTTTCCCCCCAAATAATTGCAAAGCTTTGGTCTAGCCTTTTGCATACCTTGCATAGTTAATTACCTAGGCCTTAATGTTTACATGCAATGAGAGTATCTACAACTATAAGCAACATAATTTATAATTGATGTAAATGGGTGTTATTATGTCAATTAGACAGCTGTGTCCTCCACCTCTTGGTAAACAGCTCTGAGTGATAAACTGAGTTAGCAGAGAAGTAATATTTTTTTCTTCATAGCAGATAAAAATAAATTACCTAGGTAGACCAGGCTGTCCAATTGTTCTCTGGTGATGTGGATGGAAAATCCAGACCCTTGCTTTTGACCTGTTGACTGCAGCAAATGGTCAATTTCGTCACGCAGCACCGCCATGGCTTCTGGGTGCCGTAGAAGGTAATAGATCGTCCAGAACATAGTTGGAATAGTGTTTGCCACAGAGGCCCAGAGAAAGCCTAAATGATGTGCTGGGAGAAAATAAGTGAAAAGGAAGATTAATAGCGTTTATTACACTGATTAGATTTGCAGTGTGCTAATTAAAAGATGTTAGGACACAGACCCAGCCAAGGATCAGTGCATGCTAATGAGGACCAATAGGCTTCTGAAGTCTAATTTTCTGCTTAATGAGAATAGTTTAAAATGTAATGTGTGTTGGGGGGTTGGGGTGGGGGGATGGGGGAATGAGATAAGAGGAGTAAATGCAGCTTAGCTATACCTTTCTCATTATCACCATTAAGTATCTTGTTTTACCACCTCAGGAAAAAAAAAATCAATTATCACAGAGGGTTGTTTCAGAGTAAAACATTTTATCATTAGCCAATTAGAGCGAGCATAAAATTTTTCAAGGTCGCCATTTTGTCTTTTTATTTCAAAGGTCTATTGTAAATTATTCTATTTTAGACAAGTAATCATTCAGAAGTTTCTTACCTCCTATTTCAAAGTCTTTGAATGTATAGTATTTCTCCAGGATATCTTGTCTCATTTGAACAACTTCTGACCATCCTTGTATATTAGCCAAGTTTTCTGATGTCAAGTGTCTTATAAGTTTCTTTTGAATAGACTTGACATTTCCTAGAAGCTCAATGGGTATATCTGATAGTAAATATATGAACTTAGCATCAAATTTAAAAAAATCATCTTTAAGTTCAGTAATAAATTCCTTCTTATCACCAGCAGCAGATTTTCCATATATGGTTGCAAATGTGGTCTCAAATATTACTGAGCTGCAGAATGTCAACAGGTATGCCATTTCCCAATTTGTGGTTTTAAATAGTTTCGGTTCAAAAACTTGGTGTAGGTTCTGTGTCACGTTTTCCATAAGTAGGTCTAAAGATTTCCCTTGTAAAAGTTTATAGCAGTCATGAAGCTCGTCGTTCAGGTCATCATCGGTCATCAACTTTTGGATGGAAAATACTTTCTTTAATATATTTTTACTAAACATCCGAAAGCTTAATTTCTGATTCTTCATCACTGACTGGTATTGGTAAGGGTCCAGAATAAATGTTATGTACTTTCCTAAAAGAAATGAGAATATGAGCTCATTTGTTAGCAAAGTAAACAGTCCCCCACTCCAAAATTTGACAATATTTTAATGAAAATGAGATCTTAGTAACTAATATCTAGGAACGTGCAAAGTTTAATAAAAATCAATTTCATTCAAAGGTCCATACCTGTTTCCTTTTAAAATGGAAAATAATGGGAAAAACTCTAGAAGCTTGAAGTTAAATATTCTGAAATCTTAACGAATTAATAAAACATAGTATAAGCCCTGGCCAGGTAGCTCAATTGGTTAGATCATTGCCCCCATACTATCAAGGTTACAAGTTTTATCCTTTGTTAGGGCACATAAAAGAAATGCACAGATGGGTGGAACAACAAATCAATATTTATCTCTCTCTCTCTCTCCCCCCTCCTTTCTCTCTGTAAAAATCAATTAAACATGTTTAAGGTAGTGTACTCATCACATTTTTATTTTAACTAAGTACCAAAATATTTAAATTATCCTTTAAATATACTCAGAATCCCTTGACTTAAACATTTCTCATATTTTCTCTCCAATAACATAAACAAATAACAAAAATATCCAATTGGTAAGATGACATTCCACTATTGATTTTTTTTTATTTATTTATACAGAAGAGCTTTTTCATAGTTGGTATCATCTTAGCTTTGGCTGGATACAATAATTATTTTTAAAATATATTTTATTGATTTTTTTACAGAGAGCAAGGGAGAGGGATAGAAAGTTAAAAACATTGATGAGAGAGAAAGATCAATCAGCTGCCTCCTGCACACCCTCTACTGGGGATGTGCCCGAAACCAAGATACATGCCCTTGACCGGAATCAAACCCAGGACCCTTGAATCTGCAGGCCGACATTCTATCCACTGAGCCAAACCAGTGAGGGCTGGATACAATAATTTTCACTCAAATAAATGAAGATGTGGTATGAAGTAGGTACTCATAGATGAATTCCTAATTCAACACTAACAACAAAATCACAAAAGGCCAGTATGTTCATTTGTATAGATGAGAAAATAGTGGCTCACAAAGATTTAGTAACATGTCAAGGTCACATACTGAAACAGAATGTCAAATTAGAATTCATTCATTCATTCATTCATTCATTCATTCATTCATTCATATTTATTCAATAAATCCAGACATTTGGTTAGATCTTGTTCCTCTTGAGATGTAAAGTTGAAAAGAAATCTTTGTATTAGTGGATGGATAGTGATATAGCAGATGTGTGAGGCAAAAAGTGGAATCTGCTTCAATCTGCTTTCAGAAATGGTTGAGGTGGTGACATGTGGTCTTTTCATACATTAGTGTTGTCCAACCTTACTAATTAAAATATTTAAGGTTCTGGTCAAATATACAATTTCTTCCTGATTCTGATTCACGAAGCTTGGAGTACCTAATACTGGTTTAACACATGAAGTTTAGATGCTCCTATTTATTGTCTTCTAGAAAAACAATTTTGATACCTATTTATTGTCTTCTAGAAAAACAATAAATAATTAGACCTTGCAGAATGGAGGATCATCTACACTTTCCTCTTAAACTTAACATTCCTGTGTGTGTGCAGGTATGTTTGTGTAGCTTTCTGAGATAAGTGACTTCTCACTTACTACTTATGGTAACTCCAACAGCATCTCAGAACTTTAATTTGGTAAAGTTTAGGATAAAGTTTTGAATAATTTTCATCCTAATCCTGGTAAAGGCTTGGGAGCAGAGAAGAGAGAAGAGGGCAATGGGAAAAAAAAGGGACATATGTAATACTTTCAGCAATAATGACATATTAAAAAATAATCATTTATCTCAATGTTAAGTATATTATCTAGAGTGCATTTTTAAAAAGATAAATGTTTTCTCTTTGTTGTATAATTTTATAGCGTCATTCAAGTTTTTTATATACATGGAGATACATGTGCTATTATTTTTTTCTAAAAATGAATTATATCACTTAAATTTTATTCATTCTATTTCCTCCTGATTTACGTCATAAGGAGGGGCCAATATAAGAATGAGCGTAAGCTAGAAATGACTACTCATTCTTGTCAGATCCCAAAGCTACATCTACAAAATCCACTCAATTGTTTTTCTCGCCGAGGAGAGGAAAAAGGACTCAACTGGATTTGGGCATATTTTATTATACCTGCCTTCTTCCATAGCAGCTTAATTAAATAAACTTGCCAGCATCTGCCCGATGAATAATTGAAGGAAAAAAATCAATTCTCTTATTTTACAGAAGACATAATTTCAGGCAAAGCTGTGTATTTTCACAGGTGAAGATTCATACTTTTCTCCTTTTACTAAATTAAATAACTTTACTAAATATCTTTAGGGTTATTTTAAATTTGTCACTAAAGTTCAGAGAATGTATGAAAGATTCAGTTTGTGATACACATAATTATCAGAATATATTTTGAAATTTTTTTCTATAAATTTTCCACAATCATCAAAATCTAAGTGGAAAGACAAAACTCTATTCATTTATGAGAGCATAAGCTACTGGCTGCTGGCCTCCTGAAGTACAGGCTGAATGCCCAGTAGAGTTTTTGTCTATAATTTATCACAAACATATTTACCCCCTCTCTTTTTCTTTCTCTATCTCTCTTTGGGGGTGAGGAGATGGAGATAAACTGTAACATTAATTTTAAATAAAATGAATAAAGGCTAAACATGTAAAAAGCATTCTGGTTAGCATTCAATTATTATTTTTTTAATTAAGGAGTTGTTATATATAGCCTCTCTGATGTAAAAATCATTACTGATCAGTTTAAAGCAATTTGTAGATAGAATTCTCACTGTTTTCAAGGCTCTTTACATTCTAGAATCTGTATTTTCTCTTTCTCATTCTTATTTTAATTTTCTTCCACATTAAGGCATTGTGTTTTATCTATCTCTCTGAGTAAGATGTAGATTTCTTTAAAAGTGGATGTTTTGATTTTCTGGATTTTACTCTTCAACTGGGTTTAGAATTACTAGTAACCCTTGAGATGTTAGCTGGCTTTCCAACTTTTAATCTTCAGTATAAACAATTTAAGCTAAGTTTTCAAAAATTAATATTAATTTAAACCATCTGTCCACCATCTGCTAATGTGAGATGCAAAACCAGAGTTTCTTTGTAATCTTTAATCAGGCAGTTAGGAAAACACATATACATTCATAAAATAAATTTAAATTTCTTAACAAAGGGAACTTGAAAAGTTATTTTGAAGGCCATGGATTCTTGGAGCAAAATTAACTTTCCCTCCAGTGTAATTTTATGTAAATGAATACTAAGTGTCAACAACAAGTCGCCTAGTTTACAAAGATCACAAGGTAGAAATAATATCTTTTGCCATGTTTTCCCAAAAGAGAAGAACGGTGTCTAAATATCAATGTCAAAATGAGGCTCACTTTTACAATATATATCATATACATATGATACACATATACTTATACACATGAGATATATTTGAAATAAGGTAAAAAAAATTTGAATGTTTTCTTTATGACAATTTCATCATCTTCCCTTTTTAGGAGCTGCCTGGACTCAAGGTATCAACTCCAATATTCCCATATATCCTGTGCATGATCCTTTTCTAACTCAACAGTCTTTTCACTTCCTTCAAATTTAGTTATTTCAGGAAGATGAAACTACATGATGCAAAACATGTCAGCAAATGCCGAAAAACAAATAAGGTCACTCACACTGATATCTTATACACACAGGAAGTTTGACATCTGGATCATCATAAACTGAGTTTTGATGTTTTATTTCAGATATTTGGTGCTTTACAGAGACACATTCATGGGAATTCAGGACAATTACTTAAGTATTTGAAATAGAAATGCTCAGTCAACAAAGCTGACCTTAAAATCTGAATTTTTAAAAAGTTTTCCATAATTACAAGCTTTTAATTTCCGAGTTTAGCTTGTCCTTCAATAGATTTTCTAGAAAATCTTAAGTTGAAAATACTAGTTGGAGGAGTGGAATAGAAACCAAATTTTTATTGTATGAGGCTGACCACATTTCATACTCCCCCTCTTATTAGAGAGATTCCCCTAGCTGTTGACAATGACGTACAGGGCTGTTTCAGTGGGCTGACATCTAGGGGAAATGATTCTGCTGCACCACCACACAAAACCAATTAGAGAACTATTTTCTGCGACAGGCCACAAATTTACGTGGTTTCTCATGAAAAGATGTACCTTTTAATTTCTTTATTAAGATGACATCCATGTCCCTTGAGACTTTTTGGGATGACAATCATTTGCTCATCATACAAGAACATTACTCACTGAACTCACATTATGGGACAACTGTGGAAGACTGATCCTCCTTTCACATTTTCCAAATGAGCTATTCGGCAAAATGATTATTAAAATCATATACATGAATAGGATATGTTGGCAGGAATTTATTCAAACCCTAGTAAGAAGGCAAAGAGAAATAGCAGTACATATTCAACTATGGCTGTCTACTGTTGAGTTAAAAAACATAACCACGGTCAAATGACTTAGATGGTAGAAATTCAGCAAGCTTCTCAGTATCTAAAACTAAGATACCAAGTGTTGGCAGAAATTGGTTCCTTTGTGAAAAGTGAATACGATTATTCAAACCTGCCACAAATTTCTGTTTAATTATCTGAGGTTATTTCTGTATAACTCACTTAAAAAAGAAAAGTAAAAATTTCAATGATGTGTTGTATCTACTCATGAGAACACACAATTGAATTTTTTTTTTAAGTGAAGAATATAGTTTTGTATTATGAAGCCAAAAGCTCACTTAGAGTAGAAGAACCAGCTATGGCCTGTAATTGTATTCTGGTATTTCATCAGCTCTGAAGTATTGAGAAATTCCTCATCAATTGTTTATTGTGAATCAATCCATGTTGAGCTCTGGATTAAAAGTTGGCAATGAAGAAGCTAGAGAATAATGAAAGCAAACAGACAACTGAATTGGCGATACATTCACATTTATTAAAAGTTATGAGAGAAGTGATAGGGGAGTAACTGGAGACTGGGGAAAAAGCATCAACAAAACATGGAAAGGGGCAATGGCCAGTCAAGGCTTTGGGGAGGAAATGATATAAGGGCAAGGTGTCGGAAGAGGAAATCTCAAAACCACTTGGGGCTTTGGTGGTACATTAAGTACAAGGCAAGCAGTAGCAAGAGATGAGGCTGGAGAGGGAGGTGGATCCCAGACTTTGGGAACCTTTGTAAGGATTATGTTTATATTGTATAACTCCTCTTTTTCTAAGATGCATGATTTTTTTTTTTTTCATTTCAATTTTTCTGAAATCAGAGTGCATACAATTACTTTTGAAAGAGACTCGCCAGCTGCCAGGTAAAGGAGGCAGTTGTGTTGAAATGGATACTGCCTGCTGGCTCATGTGAGAACTCAACCATGCTGACAATTTCATCCAGTTGGACCATTTTTCCTCCCAATTACATTAAAATGGTAGCAATGAAGTGAAGTTTCTCTATGTACAAAAGGTTGCTCCTGATACTCAGCTAAGTAATTACAGTAAGAAGAAATGACCTAAATAGAGCATACAATATAAATAAAATCTGGATGCTAAAAATAAAAAATAAAAATAAAAGTAAATAGAGAACATAGGAGAAACTTAATTAAGTATGGTTATAAGCTAAGGATAAGGACCCGAGAGAGAAAAAAATGAAGACACGTGTATGAGAGTAATAAATAATGAAATGCCAGCCCAGAGAAAGCAGGAAGTGAGAGTCATAAAGACAAGGGCCTGAATTGTCTTGAACATTCTTTGAAACTGGAGAAAAGGTGTTCAGAACAACTGAGAGACATGGTATCGATACATTTTGTAGGCATGTGGAGATCCTGAGTGAGGTCAGACCTGATGTGTTTAGGAAGGAGAGCGAACTGTGTACCAGAGCCCAATGAGAGATGGAACACACCTGCCTTCTCACTAGCACACCCAACCAGCATCAGAGGGTAAGGGGGTGTGGAGAATTTGGGCTGTAGAGCTCAGCCTTCCGGAGCACAGACAGGACAGACAGAAGTCCGCAAATGGAATAGCCAGCTCAGGTGATAAGCTGATGTGGAAGATTGTGCAAAGATGGCCACAATAAACTCCTGCTAACTCTCTACATGTCCTCTTTTGCAACGTGACAGCCGAGGGAGCAGTGGAGTCTCATTCCCTACCTATGAGTCTGAGCTGATCTGTGACTTGAGCTGACTGACGGAATGTGGTGGAAGTGAGGTTAGACAACATCACGAGGCCTTGCAACATTTCCTCGTACCCTCTGGAAACACTAGCTGACATGTAGTAAGGATGTCCCCTTGAGGATGTAACAGCATGTGGACAAAGAGGTCCAGGCAGGCACGTAAATAAAGCCAGCATGGACCATCTAGCCCCGATCAAGCAGCCACAACTCAAGCCACAACTCAAGGCTGCTATATGGCATGAAATCTGTGTGTGTGGGGAGGGGAGAGGGGGGGTTGTTATGCAGCAATAGTTATCCATGCATCTGAACTGCAGGAGGATTCACTAATGTTCTAGCTTCTCTTCTTAGCCCTATGAGATTGGGGTAAATAGTAACCTTTCTGTGCTTTTTGGTCTCTTGTTTTGTAAGTACTTTATTAAAGTAGAAGGATAATGAACCTTTTCAAGTTAAAAATACATTCTAGATCAGTGGTTGCTAGGGGGACAAGAAGGGGAAGAGGAATGAGTAAATGGAATATGGGGGAATTTTAGGGCAGTGAAAATTATTCTGTGTGATACTGTAATGGTGGATACATGACATTATGCATTTGTCAAACTCAAAGGACTTGTACATCATGAAGAGTGAACCCTAATGTAAACCAGGGATGTTAATAATGTATCAACACTGACTCATCTGTGAGAAATGCTGATGTAAAATGTTAATAATATTGGGATGGGGGGATGAGGGCGGCCTAGAAAGGGTCAATGGGGAAAAGGGGGACATATATAATACTTGCAACAATAAAGATTTTTTTAATTAAAAAGTTTACTATCTTAAAAAATAAAGTGGAATTATATTGTAAAAAGTATTTTAATAATAGGGGAAACTATGATGAAGGAAAAAAGGAATATGAGAATTCTCAGTACTATCTGATCAATTTTCTGTAAACCTAAAACTGGTAACAAAATAAAGTCTATTAATATATTGTAGCTTTTAAAAAAATGTATTTTTATTGTTGATAGTATTACAGATATTTCCGAATCTCCCCTATTATCCTCCACTCTCAGCCCTTACCCACCCACTCAGTTCTTCACTACCCTATTGCTTGTGTCCATAGGCTATGCATATACATTGTAGCTTTTTAAAAACCATTCTTAAGACCAAGCCAAACCAAACTATAATGACAGGTGATGGTAGGCGAGTGGGGTTCCCTAGGTACCCTCAAGAGTGTTCTATAATTTGTTTTTTAATGTGAGGATCACTATACTCAAGAACATAGTGTCCTTTTGTATTAGCTCTACAAATTAAACAATACTGTACATAATTTGCTTAGAGAAAAATAGAAGGACATTAAAGAATAGGGGAGAATTTATGATATATGAAGTGCTGTTTACCTCCCAGGAGAAGAGTGAACGTGTCGCCATGTTGATTTTGAAGAGTTCTCATGAAGCCGATGGGATCTTTTTGTAATTTCAGGGCCAGTCCAAAGTAAGGAAGCCAGCCTTTTAGCAATGGAGGCTCACCAGGTCTCCTGTAAGAAAAAAAAGGAAGTTATATTAAATCATTCTTATTTTAATACGTGTGTGTTATCAATGCAGTCTAGAAGTGGATTGAATGAACTACACAGATTGTTTTAATTTTTTTAAAATTTAATGATACCCATATAATCATAGACATATACTTATTGAGCCTCTAGTATATGTGGCTCTGGGGCAGACTGTTCAATTCAGTTTTAATAAGCAACTTTTTCAAGATATTGTGTGTGTAAGGCTCAAATGGCTGGCTGAAACAGGTACATATAGTACACATCTTGTTCCGAGAGCTCTTGCTGAGTCTGGGTGATAGATGCCAGGTATTTTAGTAATCAAAGTAAAACTCTTTGTTATCAGATCTCGATTACACTGGAATTAGGTGATTACAAAAGGTGCAATTAATAATCTTGATAAATGTTTTATGCTGTGAAGAACAATAAAAACCTGAATATCATTCCCACAAAGTATATTCTGTTACATTCTTGTATGAACATTTTTATTTAAACTACAGTAAATGGAAATATTTACATTTTATAAGAGGACTTTTTAAAACATAAAGTATGTTCAATGAAACATTGCAATACTTGACTTACAATTCTACCAAAACTTGAATTCAAAATTTCTTCCTAGTCATTTAGTTGGGGAACTCAATCTGATTTAAAGTAAAAATAAAAATATTCAAAGCCATTTTATCCTGAAAGAGATTAAAACAGATATTCAAGAAAACACGGGTGATTCTCTGCTCCATCTTTGAAGTGACATACTACATGAAGTGCAACCCATTTTGATTAATCACAGATATTACTAGCTCAGATCTAATCAAAGATCAAGATTATGATCATATGCAACATAGACTTTTATGTCGCTAGATTAACCCTATCAGAACCTCTTATCCTCCCACAATCCAAGATGGTAGAATTAAACTTAAAAAAAACACACAAACATCAGGGGAAACTATACTAAAAAATAATAAAATACAATAAAAAAAATCCAGAGTGTGATAGAAATCAAGGAACTAGGTTTTCTGTTTTTTAGAAGACAATTTTTCTCTACAAAAATGTACAAAATGTATGCTGCTATTTAAGTACATATACATAGAAATAGGAAGACAGGAAACATTGCATAGAAATGAATCTTATTCTTCACCCCTTTCCCCATTGTTTTCTGGAATGCAACCCCTAGCAATGGAGACTTGATTTTTTTGAGACATATAAAAGTGTACGAAGAAAATATAATAGCAGCTACTTTTATAACCTAAGATTTAACAAGAAGAACTTGCACATATGATTGTAGAGCAGGATCCCCAAGCTGGCAACTGCCGCGGTGTACAGGTTGTCAACAATGACTCTTTCAAAATTAGCAGGTGAACTGGTTCACAAAATTTCCTTTCACGATATTAACTCTCTCCCTTGGCCTACTTTTACTCTGTCTTGTTTACTATTGTGGGAATGTTGCATTGGAACAAAGATTTTTTAAGGCGTTTTGTCATATCCTAATGCAATGCAACTAATTTCATCCTCTATGTTCTTTTGTTCAGTCAAAAGCTACATTCTGCATGGGGTTTCCACTGGGGGCAAGGATGGAGCTCAGCGATCCAGGGGGTTAGTAACTTAATGTCCAAGGTCAGGGAAACACATGAGGAGGCCATTTTATTGTGACCAAGATGAGAGGGTCATCATTCTTTACAGCTGTGTTTATTTTGGCAGCAATAGCTTAAAACTATTAAACACTATGTCACAACTTTGCATATTTCCCAGAAAAAAATATAGTGCCTGCTCAACTTATGACCCAGTGAAAACAGATAACAGAAATCTGTCTTCATCAGTATATTCATAAAAAGAATTATTTAGGGGAGAAGCTATCACCGTCATGATCCAGAGAGTCCTACTTGCACCTGGCACGCTACAAATACTGCGATTTATCTCTCCCATGCTCTGAGACTTTGACAATGAAATACCCACTGCCCACTGCTGAGCTCAGGGGAGAGGATTCCTAATGCTTTTTGGGAAATATCAAGCTCTGAAGCTTGAAATGGGTAGACCCGGAAGCAATGATTGGTAACAAAAACAACAAACAAACAAACAAACAAATGACATGGCCCATATCCCCTCTTAATCCCACCCAAGCAATATTTACTCTCTCATATATCCTCTTTACTCTTTAAAAGACTATGAGGACACAACTCAGAAAGTGTACAAATGAGAGCTTACAAAGCTTCTCAATGATTAAACCCAAGTTCTGTGCCGAAACCATTGCATCACTGCTTGCAATTTCTTCCATATAAGTTGTGGGACCAATTTTGAAGTTTAATTGAAGTGTCAATATGGTCTGGATTTATATAGAAGCAAATAGTGCAGAATAATCCAAGAATATAAAATGTGTACATACATTAGAATAAACATCTATGACCCCCTTTTTTTTTTTATTAAAAAGAAGCATCTAAAACTGAAAAGAGTGAATCAAAAAATAGTTGGTTTCTAATAACATTTGAAGTTGGTTGGTTGGTTGTCTTTATGCTACCTGTATGGTTAAATACATATCTAAAAATTTTGGCTAGTGACCTCTCATACATTGTTCCCATTGACATTTAGAGCCCAGCACTTTCCACAGCAATTTATATTCTGTACTTGTAAACATAATTCCTTCTTTTCCATTTTTTTTTCTGTGAGCATTCTAGACTAGAAGTCCAGGTTATTGTAACAACCTCCTAAGTAAGTGGTGAGCAACCTTTACCCATGTACAGCAGTTCAGAAAAAAAAAAAAAATAGAAGTATGTGCTGATGAAAAGTTTCTCAAAGATGTAATCTATTTGTATCAGGACACCTAATGTCTGTGATAGTAAGTTTTAAAATAATATTTCTGATTAGTGAAGATTTTTGTGTGCATGCAGTCAAGATTTCAGAAACTACACAGCTGGTGTGAATGGCAGTATTTGGTTATAATAGTGACCTTTTGAATAAACTGTTGTTGAGCAAGGGACTTTTGATGTTAGTCTTCTTCCCTTTTCCTTGAATTACTTTGGAAGCCACTTATTTGGAAAATGGAATTCGCCTCACAGTGCCTCTTAGAACTGTGTTCTTGAAATGTTCTCTATTTCTCCACTCTTCCTTGGCTCCAATGTGAGCATGAGGATAGCTAAAAGGTTCCCACAACTCTTGTTAACTGCGAACTAACATGCTCTTCAGGACACTGGGAAGAGGGGACATCTTTGCCAGGCTATGAGTGAAAGATCCTGAAAGAGGAAGAGTGGGTGGTATATTACGCTGCCAGCACCCTCAGTGAGATCCTATTTGGGACCAAGGAAGCAGAGAACCACATGCATTACTTTGCTGAAAAACCAGAAGGGAGGTACAGCCAACTGGGGGCACTACAGTCATGGCTGCAGAGGTGGAGGACCACGTGGAAAGCCAGGAGGTACTCTGGAACAACAAAGACACCTAACCCGAACATCTGCATAACAGGATTCACCAGATTAACAGAAAGGAAGGGGAAGGGAGAATCCTAAATCTCATTTAATATTTATGAAAAAAGAGACTAGGTTTTAAACTAGAAGTGATTGAGCAAACTTTTCACTGAAAATATTCAGTGGCCGAAACCGGTTTTGCTCAGTGGATAGAGCTTCAGCCTGCAGACTGAAGGGTCCTGGGTTCGATTCTGGACATGGGCATGTGCATGTACCTTGGTTGCGGGCACATCCCCAGTAGGGGGTGTGCAGGAGGCAGCTGATCGATGTTTCTCTCTCATCGATGTTTCTAACTTTCTATCCCTCTCCCTTCTTCTCTGTAAAAATAAATCAATTAATATATATATATATATATATATATATATATATATATATATATATAAAGAAAATATTCAGTGTTTTCTGCCATCAGCAGATATAGGGGCTCATGAGAAATTTGAAGTTAGTTATAGAGAAAGAAAGTCCCATTTCTGCACACCCAACTCTTACTGGGAAATTTTAAGTCCAATTCCCTAGATATGTAGACCTTCAGTTTCATCTGAAAAAGGTAATCATTCTCTATACTGCAAGAGGCTTACCGTTTGGGATAGATTATTTGAAAGTAGCTGGTACACAGAACAGGATTAGTTTCCCCGGTTATTCATACATTGTAGGCCCATTCTCTGCCTGAATTGGTTTCATTGGCCAACCCTCCCTGCACTTCTCTACCTTTGATAGAGTTGCTCAGATGAGAGAGAAGCACCTCTCCATCTTTTGAATTATTGGCTGGGTGAAGGTAAGTGCCCAGATACATATGGATGCAATAACTTTACTGAAGATACTGGTAAAAATAAAGGCTTACACGGAGCCACTTCGAATTCAAGGACACTGGTGGACTGAGCTGATGGTTTCCATGGGCTCCATCAGTGAGGAGGGGTGGGAAGAAGCGATGACATGAGTTAAGATTATCTTCCCAGGGTCCTTACCACAGACCGAGACAGCAGGGGGTGCTGGGTGACACAGAGTCCGTCAATATTTACTTTCCAGAGCAACTTGGTCACAGTGTTCTTTTAAATGAATACGTGGTTAAATAACCACAGACCCATACCATATTTCCATGTTCCTTAAAAATAATGTGAATATAAATGCAAAGAGAAATGCCTCGTATGTTTTACTATATAATGGATGTTACTTCTGGGTGGCGAGATGCTGGTATCTTCTAATTTGCCCAGCATGAACATAGCGCCTTTGCAGAGTGCTTTGCATTTATTTTGTAGAAGGCACTTCAATGTGGGCTGTTTGGTGGTTTCGCGTGATTAGATTGCGGTTGTAACGTTTTGGGAAACAATCCCACAGAAGTGACACGCCCTTCTTCTCAGCGCATCGTTGTTTTTGAAATTTCAAGAAAATGCTATTTTCGTGCTAAAATGAAAGCCACGTACAGAAGGCGCTGCCTTCTAAAAGGTAGAGGATGGCAAAATATACACTCTACACACGAATCAAAGGCTGGTTCTAAAAATGAGCGCAACAGTCTCCACGGCGGTGCGTGCAGAAACC